GTTTAATTACTGCAGTTTTCAGGGCCTGTGGAAATACACCTGATTGAAGAGAGTTGTTTACTATGTGCAGAGCCGGCCCGACCCATTAAGCGACATAAGCGGCCGCTTAGGGCCCCACAGCCACTAAGGGCCCCCTAGCAAAAAAAAATAAAAAATCTCAGTACACCGTCGCCGTGTGTTTAATTAATTGTGTTAATATGCCTGGATTGCTTACTCTCAAAGTCATGTATTATATGATTGAGTCAATCATATAATACATTAATCGTGCTTTACCTGAACCTCATCATGACACGAGAGGACGGCAGGATTGTAATTTCCCGTGTTCAGTGAATGCAACAGAGGCAAGACACCAGACCAACCAGAGAGTTGAATGGAAATAAACATCTGTCTTATTGGCTGACAGGTACCTATCCTGTGAGCTGTGAAAATGTTTAAAATAAACTGTCAGTCGGACTCAGAGTTTTTGAAGATGGACATAAGAACATTTTTTCTTTAAAAATATGACAATTCTCAAGTGGTGGCTCACACAACAACCCCAGAGCCACCACTTGAGCCAGGTAAACAAGGTACTGTATGTAAATGTCAGTAAACTTCCAAGTTATGCGAACATTTAAGCAAAGCATAAATTACAGCTACGTTGACGTTACTTTAAATCGCGGGGGTAAGCTAAACCGTTAGCAAGTAGCTATAGGTAGCCAGATATATTAAATAAACACTTTGTCATATAATCTAAATGTTATGTTTTTTAGCATTACCTGGTGATTTCAAAGAAAGCTCTCTGGNCACAAAAATACTCTTAACTCGCTGAAATCTTGACTGATTTACAAACGGTTTGGTTTATTATAAACATTATTAGCATGGCTATGATACAGGATGCTTGGACATGTTGAAATTGCAGCTTTTCTTTGTGCATGTGCCGTGGTTGTATTTATTAGCTGGCTAATAACAAGAGGCTGTGAGTGAGAGTATTACAAAGTTGACCCAGTAACTTTACACCAGTGGGAGAGGCAGAACTGCTCTTTCTTTTCAACATAACTTAAATTACACATGATTTCTTCCAAGTGGTTTGGCTTGTTAAAAACATCTTGCATTATGATACAGGAATTTGCTGGCTTTGTGTTTACCGAAATGGTGGCATAGTTGCCACTGCTTTACATGTCAACAGCATCTTTGAACGTATTTGCAGCAGTAAATGTGGCTGTTTGGCCACTGACGTTGCCTTAACAACACCTGAATTTAAATATGCAACCTCTTTTTGTGACAGATTTTTGCAAGAAATTATAATTCTTCTGAATGATATTCCTATTGGCAGCTAGTTTCTATGTGAACATTATGAGATGGACAGCCAGAGAGAATAAATGAAAAACAGTTATGAAATACTATATGACAAAACAAGAATACAGTTTAAAGTGGACCTATCATGCTATATTTGAATAATATAGTGTAGGACTAGGCTTGGGAGGTATCATTTTTTTCATACCGTCACACCTTGCTGACATCATACTGTGGTATACGGTATATGACGGTATGACTTGGGTCGACTTGAGTGAGGTGGCGTTCGAACGGCGGCAAATAGATGTTTCGAACGGTATATTATATGTTCGGTGTAAAATGCAGCCCGAGCCGGTAGACGCTCGCAAAGTGCCGCGACGTGCGCGCAAGTGCAAAACAAGGGCTGCATACATGACACATTGTGCAAATGGCACATTTCGAGATCGGATACAGGACGCGTTTGTAGATGTCCGACGTTGTTCCATTGTGAGCTAAGTTAACAATATATCTCCTTCATAAAGATTTTCGGGAGTAAATACTTGACTTATTGAATAAAGGTTGGCTATATTCACTACTAGTTCAGCAATATTACTCCATGCACATGTTACGCTGTCCTCCTTTCAACCAACACGGCGCCGCGCGCGCGAGAGAATGTTAACACCATGCATGGACATACTATGCCAAACTCAGTTAGCGATTAGCAACTTTTACTTCGCTCTCCCGAAAATCTTTTTACGCGCTCTCTCGCTAACTTAGCTCACAGGAAACAACGTCGACATCTACAACGCGTCCGTATCCGATCCTCGAAATGTGCCATTCTGCACAATGTCATGTAAGCGCCCTTGTTTTGCCCTGCGCGCACTGTCGCCGGCACTCTTGCGCGCGTCTACCGGCTCGGGCCTGCATTTTACACCGAACATATACTATACCGTCGACCAACATCTATTTGCCGCCNNNNCCGGGGGGGGGTGGTGGAGGGGGGCAGAGAAAGACAGAAAGACAGAGTGACTGAGTGAGTGAGAGAGAAAGAGGGGAAGGAGGGAGGGAGGGAAGGAGAGGAAGCCGGAGATAGAAGAAAAAGCACAGCAAAATGAAAGGCTGACAAAATGAAAGAAAAAGAGACAAATGACAAGGAGAAAGAGAAGGTAGTAATTGCAAGAGTCTGTACTTTCACATTTAAAGTTGCATCTGAGAGACACCTAAGGACAAACAATTAGATCAGCGGCAGAAGACATGCGGCAGAAATAAGAAACACAACTCTTATCTCTTTTTGAAAAGATGTTCCCACTGCAGCACCACTTATATGAATGTGAAAAGTAATCTCACTTCCCGTCACACTCGCAACCAGACAAATGTGTGTAAATACCTAACTAACTAAACTGCCAACAAGTAGCCACCAACCCCTCCAGACCCTCAGCAGCAACACATCTTTAGGTTACAAACTCACCACATTGTTCCTGGAGTGATGTTTGAGGTGTTTCAGGGATCTCATCCTTCAGGAGAAATGAGTGGAGTAAAAAAATCCTCCTCCTATTTATATCTGTGAGAGAGTGGGGCGGTCCCACGGCTCATCCTCCTCCTACTGTTGCTGTTATCAGAACTGACTATGCCTGCCCCCNNAGGAGGAGGAGGGAGGGAGGGAGGGAGAGCAAAGGGAATGAAGAGAGGAAAGGAGATAGAGAGACGGAGAGAGTGAGGAAAGGGAAAAACAGCAAGGGGAGACATTAACTATTGAACTTCCAGATTTCTTTCAGCCTGTGTTGAGGAACAGTGCGGCAGAGTACCTGCGGGCTAAGTACAGGTTGTGTGCTTAAGTACTGAAGATGATCCTGATCATTAGACAGGTATTCTTTTGTACCACAGCCCACCTTACTATTTTAACTAGTAAACATGTGAGGGGAGAAATACAAAAAGAAAGTGTGGTTGAGAAACGATTGTATAGGTGCAGGCAAGCGTGACAAACACTGTGGACACATGCCAACTGTGACTGTAAGGCTGAGGACTGTGCATAAACATTTCCTACTAAATAACAGGAAAGGGCAAACCTTGAAAACCTTGATCAATCATCAGCGGCTGGGAGTGCTGCGAGAATGAGAAAGATAGAGAGAAAGGGGAGCGGAGAGGGGGGAGGAGGGAGAGATAGGGAATGAGAGTGAGCGTGAGGGAGGGGAGGCAGAGAGAAAAGAGAAAGATTGAGTGAGGGTGTGAGTGAGGGGGAGAGATAGCAGGAAGTCGAGGGAGAGAATGGGAGAGAAAATAGAAGGAGAGCAAGGGAAGAAACAAAGAGATAAGAGGCTGAAAGACAAAGAAACCACATGGAAGAAACAACAAGGGACACGTACATAAAACAACACAGAACTAGCCTATGGGGGAAATGAAGAAGACACAGACAACAAAAGTTTGGGGAAGAAATACACTGGCTCCTTTCCAGGCCTGAATCTTCATAACAGCAAAAACCTGCTCGCTTGTCCATTTACTTTGGGTACATTTGCATGTGTGTGTGTGTGTGTGTGGGGGTGGGGGGGGGGCACGGAAAACTAATAGCGGGAAAGGCTACGCTGGATAATGAGCGTTAAATGTCACCTCTTAGGTTATACAGGTTCCTAAGAGCATAGAGAAAGAGACAGAGTAAAAGGGAAGTAAACCATTGCCCTGCTCTCGAGAGTATAACCCTCAACTGGGATTTCAAATGAGTGTTTGTTCGCGGTTGCATGTGCGCATTCGTCTGATGTCTGAGATCAGGGACAAGCGCACACACCACTGACACCAACAGGCTTTCAGTCCCCCCAGCCCTGAAACAACACACTACTGACACCCGTGTCCGTACGACTTACTGTATTTCTACCACCCCGACCACTTTTTAAACCCCGGCCTTGTTCTGTGTGTTGTTTATCTATAGGAGGACAACCATGCAGTGTCACATCCTCTCTGTGATACAGGTCAAAGTTATAACTTCTTTTTTTTCAGAAAGAGGAAGAGAGCAAGACAGAGAGCGAGGGAGAGAAAAAGAAAGAGGGGGGACATATTTAGCTTACAGCTGTCTGTTTTACCCCTGAGAGAAGCTCAATGAATCAAAAAACTGCAGGGCTGATGACAACTCCCTTTTTTCTTGATTTTTTTAGGTTAAAACAAAGGTGACAACACACTTTTAGAAAGGCAAAATGACAATAATCTGGGTACATTTAGTTGTATATCCTCTGCAAGTTGCTCTATATCCACACACCCTCACATTGTCAGTGCTGTTTCTTCATCCAGCCCAGTGACAGCCTGCATACAGCCCGAGTTCAACCTGACTGTGTGTGAGCCGCTGTGCTAGGCGATGGCTATAATTCAACATCCTTTCACTGTCAGGCAAACTGGGAGCTTTGTAGGTGTGTGTGTGTATAGGGTTGTTATAGCTACAGCGTTCAGGTGAGGGTTTTTTTTCCTGATCAGAAACGGAGAAAATGAAAGAGAAGAATCGGTTTGCTCTGCGTTTTGAACTTAGAGTTATTGCACTGATGTTTTAGACGGCCATGCCTCTCAGACCCGTGTCTAAGGCAGCAAACCCACACACCTTCTGTTATTTCCAGATCCGGATCCGCCTCACCTCTGCACGGCATGCTGATATAATAGTAAGTCTCAAGCATGATTAGCTGCTGTAATTAAGCTTTCAAAAAACAAAACAACAGCAGGCTTTTTGACAGTACACACTCACACTGCTTACATTTAAGAAATGCAGATGGAAAATAACACAACTGTATAAAAGCAGCCACACCCAAGTCGCCCGCCTCCAGCTTCTTCCATTAAGGTCAGTGAGAACAGACTGGACACACAGACAGGAGAACACAAAGTAAAAAACACAACGACAAAGCTTCAGTCTTTATCAGCATTGCCTCAGTCACTGCTGAAGGAGAGCAACTTTAGATGTGAGGCATATATGATTAGACAAGGTAGACTATAGGTGAATCACATGCAACTTCAAGCAAATAAACAAACATTAATCTGCAGCATATTCTGCATTTGTTTTTGATATTAATGCATTCCACGTTGGCTTTGCATGTTTGTTTTTCCTCCCTGTATATTTAATCAAATCAAGTCTTAAATTCACTCAACAAATCACACTAACAAAAGCCTCAAGACAGGATGCAGAGATGGCCAAAGCAAAAAAAAACCTAAATAAAAGATTACTCCCCTCCCCATTTTGTAGTGGGGGTACTAAATGGAAAGACAGAATATTAGCAATGAAATAGCTCTGCTTGGAGACAACATTGGAGAAAGGAGTGTGGGGAGAGCTTGAAAAAAAAGAAGACTGAATATAAAGGAGAAAAGACAGAGTTGAGGGAGGAGAGGAGAAGAGCATTCAGCAAGGAGGATATAAAAGGAACAGAGAGGGGGGCGAGGGAGTGAGACAGAGAGCTATGGAAGGAAAAAGAGAAAGAGAGAGAGCATAAGAGAGCGAGAAAAAGAGGGGGGCATGGGAGAGCAAGAGAGAGAGGAGGAGAGAGAGATCAAGAGAAAGAGGGAGGGGGAGCGAGTGAAAGAAACAGAGACAGAGGACGAAAGAGAAAGACAGAGAGGAGAGAAAAACAGAGAGGGGGAAGGGAGAAAGAGGAATAGCCACAAGAGACTCAAAAACCACAGAATAAAAAGCCTCTGTCTGTAACTCTATATAGATATACAAATATGAATACTAATATATGGGCGCATTGCATTTATTCAACGGGAAAAGGGATAGTCAACAGTGCAGAATTCAACATGCACCTCAAGTTCATTCAATAAGTCAGCAAACACAGTGTAGGACCACGGAGAAGTCATATCTTCTTATCAGGAATGCAGTTTTTCATTGCAGTAAGGTGGGAGAGGAATTTTACCAAGGCACTTTATCCTATTTTAGTCGCTCTGAAGTCTCTTCCTGCTCTGTGATTCATGGAAAAGTATGCTTATAAAAATGTACATCCTCAGCATGCATATTTCCAATGTGTAGGTGCCGGGGTATGTGTGCAACAGACAGATGTAAATATACAAAAAACATGCAATGTGGATGCAAGTGTCCTCCATAGTGAAATGGCCCCAGATTTACTCAAGGTGAGGCCCACAATGAACCTCCGAAGCCTATTAACACTAGAGGTCTCCGGAGTGCCTTATGTGCTGCTTAGAGGCGACCACATTCAACCTGGGCCACAACACACAGCCACTGTCCCTCTATGGCCGTCACTCCTTTGTATTATTCCACCACCTCCCGGTAACACATTTCAGTCGGAATTACTTTTCTTTCGTCCAAGTTTCATTCTTTTAAATCAAACCCTTTGTCTATCTCTTCTTTTGTACCTTCCTCCTGTTTCCATGGTTACCTCTCTCTCTGCTCTGTACACTATCTATCTCTTCCTCCGTTTCCCTCTCTGTCTCTCTCACTCTGTTCTTATCTTTCTCATTTTGCTTTCATCTCTGCCTCCCTTCCTCCTGCTTTATCCCACACCCTCCTCACTCCGGCTTTTATCTCTCTTCACTTTCATCTGTCTTTCACCTTTCTCTCCCCTTCAAGCCTGCCATTCCATCATGCTGGTTTTGGTTCTTACTTATAGAGAGAAAGTTTTATCGGTTTCCCTGTCAACTCTGCATTTTTAATCATTTCCAATTTATCCAACCCACTTTCAATGCCATTGACTCATGCATTAAATTGTCTTGGGCAGAGTGTGTGAGTGTGTGTGTGAGACTGAAAGGTGCAGGAGGCTGTAGTCTTCTTACTATCATAAAGGAAGAGGAATGATTTCTGTCATGATATGTGGAGATTAACTGGCTGCCGTGCTTCTGTTTTTCAGCAGTGCAGTAATGGATTTTTTTCCCCCCACATATATTTGTTGTTGCTATTTCCAAATCAACACATATACAGACTGGCGCTTATGATTTTTTGATTTAATGGTGGACAACACTGAGCTTATCTGAGTGGACTCCCACTGAGAGCGAAGCCGTTGAGGAGGCAGTGCTCCTCGACACGGGGCTGCCTCCTGTAAGGTAGCCTGCATGTCATTTCTCCGCAGTGATGAAGATGTTCCTGTGAAACACAAATGCCTCCCTCCATGCACCTCAGTTGGGAGATAATCGTATTCACACACAGCTGTGGTTGGTTTAACGCACCTCCACATCATGTGTCACCATGTGATACTGCACACAGTACCAACACCGCTCAACCACAAACAGAGGCTGGGACGCAGAGGCTCTTCCCAGCATGCCCCATTGATATTTAAGAGGACAATCATCACTATAGAACATGTGTGTGTGTGTGTCTGTTGGCCTAACACCAATTCACTGTAGGGTTGTCATCCATGGCGTTATACATAAGAGGGGGAGTGTGTCTTCAAGTCACTGACAAACTCATTCCAAGAGACACTGCATGTGGTGTGGGAGGAAGTTTTGTTCTGCAGCTTTGACTGAAACTAACCTCCCTCCCCTCGCCTTCCCTTTCCCCTTCCCCTTAAAGTACCACAACTATTCAGAAAAGAGAATA